ACTTTTCCTTTTATTCCACGCTTGTGTTAACAAATGTTACTGGTCCAGGTCAACTCTCACAAGCACAATGCTGATGACACGAGTGATCCTTTGTCTCCAATTCCGGTGCCAGCTCAGAAACAACTGAAATATACTGCAGGAATTGCTAATGGTTCCGTTAGAGATTCAGCTGCATTCATGGATCAAACTCGAAAGGTTCACCTTCTACTTCTTATATTCCATGTTAATTACAAGATCTATGCTTGAGGTTTGAAGTCATTACAAAAAAATCAAAAAAAAAAAAGAAAAAGAAAAAGAAATGAGAAGGAAAACAGAAAAAAAAAATAAAAAAAAAACTAGATTGATGACGTCTTATTTGCACCAACTGTTGCTAACATGATGGATCCACCAGTGTCATCCAAGAATTTATAAACAGAGTTTCCTTTGTGTACTATTTGCATAATCTAAAGTTAAGTGTAGTGTAATTCCAAAATTTAATATGGGCAGGTGGGGTTATTTGTAAAGAATTGAAAAATTGAGGGATGCAAGCATGCAACTGTCAAAATATACGAATGTAAAATCGAGAATTGGTTTTATAACTTTTCGCCTTTCACAAATTCTTGTTTGAGACTGCCTAGCCGTTGGTTGGGTTGACCCCGTCATACCTTTTTAACAAAAATGATTACATAAGCTATGAAATGTCACATTTTTGTTTATGTTGTTTTTTGTAGTATGACATTTCAGTTTGAAAGTATGCACATTTGTCTAAAAAAGTATGACGACCTAAGTGTTAGGCCTACCTAACTATAGTCTTACTGTCATTTTGTGTGTGTGTGTGTGTGTTCGTATCCAAAGGGTTGCTTTTGTTATTATCACTATTTCATATTTTTATTTGAAAGTAATTGTTTTGGCAAGTGCAGATGGTACCTATTGGCCAGCTGTCGATGAAAAAATTATCGCTGGCGAGTCATGGCGGGAAGCTATGGAGATGGAAAAGGAGTCATCATCAGTGGTTATTACAGTTCAAATGGAAATGGCAAAAGCCTTGGAGACTTTCCGAGTGGATTAAGCACAGCGATGAGACGATCATGAGAGCCAAGCCTCGTCCCCAGGCTCTTCCCGATGTCATGTACAGAAAGGGTCGCTAGTTTTATCAGTACATAAAAACTGCATGTAAAATATTTCATGACCCGTTCCACAAACACGGCAGAGGAAGATGGAACATTGTAACTACAGGTATATTTTCATTGTTGACTTGCTTTTTTCTGTTGGCCGAGGAATTTTTTTGTCATTGTACAAAAGAAAATAAATTGTTATTCATTTTTTCGATTTCTATAGCAGGTATTTTAGGTGTCGATGCGTATGGAGTGACGGTGTGTTGGCCTTGGGATTTTGTAGCTCAAGTGGATCAAAGTAGTTGTTTTGCGAAACAATATGACTTTGGTGGTAATGGATATCAAGTTGTACTTCAAGTATTTGTATATACAATAATCATTCTCAAGCCATGAAAGGGATTTTCATAAAATCATAACTTTTTTTTCCCTTGCTTTGTATTTTCGATCTCTCTGTACATTTGTGGCTAATTAGCCTTGTAGGTATTGCATAGAAGCGGACTACTGATGTTGTTCAAAATAGGTTTAGTTTAGTTCCTACTTGGTGTGATAAAGATTCGTTTTCTATTGTTGATTTGTACTTGCGTGCTATTTTTTGTTTGGTTATAGTGTGATTCTAAAGGAAAAGAACTTGGCCACATTTTTTAATGCTTTTGGCTACTTGGTGAATAAGATTTACCTTCTTGTGTTTCTATTGTCTTTGTTGGGTTATGTGAAGAACTTCGATCTATGTTCACATCACAAATCTTAGTAAATTTATTTCTCGCGCAACAAAATCTATAGCTAAGATTAGAGATTTAATATTTAAAATTTTACCAGACTTTGTATAGACATACACGACCTACGGGGCGGAACGAACAATTTTGAGTTGTTCTTCATACCAAACTTCTTGTCACCTCGTTTCGTCGCGCACGCTATCGTCGACTCGTAGGTGCGCCTCGCCAACTGTCGTGGGTTGTCGTGTCGGGTCGCTGCCGCCGTCGGAGCTTGTCGCGCGATGTTGCCAAGTTGGTCGCTTCATCGTCGGGTCGTGTTGTAGCTCACGGTGGTGTGCGTCGAAATCTTTTATTGTATAACAGTCACCACTCCGAGTTGTTTTGGTGGGCGACTTGTCGGCTCTCCCAAACCACACACAAATTTCATTATCTCTGCCTCACAATTTTATCGATATTTTGAGAAGAAAAAAAAAAAAACCTTCTCTCAGGTTTGAATTCACGTTGAGTAATGTTTCTGTTGGTGAGGGGCTATGAGACTTAATTTATTTATAGGCTACACTTAATGAGTTGCTAAATATGAGCTCTCAAATTGAGTCCATATGTGGGCTTAGTTACTCTATTCATACTTGAATAATATTTTATTCGACTGGACAAATATTGTTGAACTCCCCATTTTGCCTCCGAATTACAAATAATTTGTCTATACTAATTGCTCGATTTATCTTACCATGTTTAATATATAGTGTTTGTTGATTAATTTAATTACTGATAATATAACTAATCTTCTTGATTTGAAACTAGTATCACTCAATTCTTTATCATTGTGTCGGAAATTATTCCGTTAGGGGCTTGACATAATAATCTTCTTAAGCTCATTTTGGGAATGACATCAACCTGGCAAATTGAGACACGGTGACCATAAAACAATTTTAACGGCACATAATGTATTCGGAATTATTTACCAAAATACGGAGTCTATCGACCTAACAGAGTAAGTCTTGCCATTGTTAAATCAAATGAATAATAACTAAATACATATATGGTTGCTTATTGTCTTACATGTTAAGAGAATGCATAAACTACTAAGGTCTAGGTTGTTACTTGGTCAGTATAAAATCATCTTATCCTCATGTATGTTCGTTCAATGCATCTGAGATGTACTAGTGTAATTCGTTAGTCAAATATCAACTAACCCAAATATCAAATTACAACCTTTCACGACATTTAGTTCAATTATGTTTGGATTGTGAACAAACATTTATTGTTTACAAATAACCGATAATATGATTTTTTTTTTTTGTTCGATACATCTAATCGTATTATCTACAATGTAAAATAAAGGAACTATGCGGCATAAATAAATAAACTATGAACATTCACTTGACTAAAACACATGAACCTCATTCAAATAAAATTGCGAGTTCACAAAGCCGAGCTTCTACAGTATACCCCCACAATTTCTCGTTTATACATTAAAGCTTTAGTCTTTTCTAAGTATATTTTTTATCTTTAACATACATTCATTCTCAATACCTTAACATGACTTGCGCAACTTTCGTCAGAAATCCAATTCTAAAAGGATCTATTTGGTCGTCTATTGATGTCACTAGGCGACAAAATCTCTACTCCTTTGAGATTATTCGCACAAGGTCGTGCAAGCTCTGTACACTTACTTGCCATATGAACTTGTGATTCATTCACATTTGCAACTCCCCTAATTGTCATCACAATCAAATTATGACATTACTTGGGCAAACCAGGATTTCACATTCTTAGTCCAATAGATATTCTCGGAGTCAAACCTCTTTCATTGTTTGCTCTTTAGCCCGCGACGGAATGAGATTCATTAGTGGAATGCGTCAAATAATTATCATTTAACATTCCTCCAATATGTTGGCTTCACCTCACAAGTAAACACGAATCTCGAGGTAAATTTTACTTATTGTTCACGTCTGATTAGAAATTAGAATTCATTGTAATCCAACATATTATTCTTAGTTCAGTTACGATATACTTGACAATACGTTTTATCAAAAAATAATGCGTCTGTTCTAAAATTACTTCGATATCTACTAACTATGCTCACGAAAATAATAGATATCATGTCTCATTTACTGCATTGCATACAATAGGTTTTATATTGCCGAGCAAAAGGAATTACCACTATGTCATTTGTCACCTTAGATTTCTTTCAAGATATCTCCTTAGACAGAGGAACTCCATCGTGGGAAGGTTCACAAACCATCTTGGAGTCATGAATGCTACGAATGAGCCATATGATATTTTCTAGATGCGAAGTTCGAGATAAGCGCAACATTTCTTTCTTGTGTTCTTTGACCTCAAGAACAAGTGTTGATTCTTCTGAGCGTTTCACATCTAATTGGTTGAATAACCATACCCTTTCACCTAACAACATCTTCACACTGTCTCCAGCAGTCAGAACGCCATCTACGCACTATACAAAAATTACCACCACCCTCTTGTTGTTATACACACAATGCTCATTTTGTAAATACTCAAATTCGCAAATTGGACTCATCAACCAAATGTAACATTTTAGCCCACTAATGGATCGTATCAATTTACAGACTAGATGCTCCCAGCCCTTTAAAATGAACACTTTTGGGTGCTTCCAAATAGATATTCCCACAAGACACTTATTGGCGCCTCCGCGACCAGTAGCACCTCCTCCGGCCTGTCAGCCGCAACCAATGGCTCGTCATTCGTCTTAGTCCAGTCACAAATAGCCTGATTGAAGCGACTAGAAATCCACCATGCTCAGATGAATCAGACTCATTTGTGTACGACTAGAATCGGCCACCAATCATCGCCCGATGTTAGCCCTTAGCCGCAACTCGGTCCGCCCGCAACAGTTCATACAATCCGCAACCACAACTTTTCTTTCATCGGCCTGCCATTGGCATCATACCCCTTTTATGCCTGCGACCGAGTCGCGTGCCAGGGTTGCTTGCCTACGAGTTCAGTCAGTCGTCGCGCAACCATCAAGTCTCCCAGCGCCTCAACGATTTGCCCTAGAAATACCGCAGTCGGCGACCCCGACGTTGTTCCCCATCCACCAGCCATCGATCCTCACACACGCTTCGGTCGCTGTTCGTATGACTCGCACGAGTCCCAAGTTCATCGTGCATCGTTCGTTCGTGTGTTCATCGAAATAAAATTATAATTATAATTTTTGATCCTATGATCCACGCAAGGGCCTTAAACGTTTGTTTTAGAAAGAATAAATCTATACAGCGTCTGACCGTGCAATTAAATTTATTACAAACATTCAACCAACCCAAAAACGATCCTCGATATGTCTGAGGCTTTAAAGATACATACATGAACATAAACACATACATACGAGTCATAATAGTCAGATTAATTCGAACTTCTGTAAAAACGAGTTACTTGCAATTCTAATCTATTATGTGTTGCGCCCGTACATAGTTAACCACATATGTTGCAATTCAAATTAGTCGGTCTCTCTACAAATTGTTTGATTCTATGAAGAATATCGATCGATATTCACATCACAAATCCTAGTAAATGTATCATACCGCAGCGTTCTATAGCTATGATTAAAGACTTACCGTTTAAAACTTTGTTGACCTTGTATGGACATATGCAACCTACGAGGCTGGACAAACAGATTTGAGTTGTTCTTTACACCAAACTTCTTGACCTATTACCCATGTGTCTCTTAGATACACTCCTAAGGCCCACCTATTTCAACTTGTTTCAGGTCGGCCAAATATAACAAGTCATCTCCACATCTGACCTACCTGTAGGCTAATTCACCCGAGCTCCCAGGGGTCAATTCACCTAAGCTACATGTAGACTAATTCACCCAAGCTACCTAGAACCAACTTACCCGATCTAACAAAAGTCGGTTGATCCCGAGGTACTCTATATGTTATATCAACCCTACGTATATATGAATTTTGAATCCCAATTGTGATTTCTAACTCTATTATTCATCTGATTCATTCTCTAGTCCGAGTTGAAAAATATTTGTCCCTTGATGCATGCATATGATATTATAGAAGAAAATGGCAAAAGTTGAGATTAAAAAAAAAAAGAAAAAAAAACGGACAAAAAAAGAAAAAAACAATTGTCTTGAATTGAGTCATGTGAGAAGGCTCCAGCATCTAAAAACTTTTGATTTTAGTAAGGCAAAGCCACAAGGCACAAACATTATATTATATAAAAAAAATATCACGAGCCAAGAAATTAATATAACAAAACTTTTGTGAGTCAAAACAAAACAATAATAAAGAAAAATAAAGTATATATATAGAATATTTAAAAAGATGCTTATTCATATAGTTGCAGTTAATTTAGATAAACAATAAGAAAATAAAATTAAGTGATGTTCTTTCCTTGTGATTAATGGCTTTAGGCATATCATATCCATCCCCACCTGCACGCGCCATATATCTGCCGAGTGAGTGGTTAATCCAAACATCCCTTTTGTCTTTTCAGTTTTTACCCCGCTTTTTCTAATACTTACTCAACATCTCAATTATGGACCAATGACAATCATATCTTAAATAATTCATACAGATTAGAAAGGCATACATAATACACACCCTTAATATATGAGTGGTCATGTGTAGGATTATTTCTTGTTTATATTTTTTTATAAAATAAAATCGTAGGTACAACTACATATAGCAATTTTTTTTTTTTTTTTCCAACATGTCTTGTAAAAGTGAGTTGTTTGGCTTTGTTAAAGATGGAATTTTATCAAAAAAAAAAAAATAATTTAAAAGTATGATGGTTCTTTAATATCATAGTGATGTCTGGAAGAACACAATGTCCTTAGAACGTATTCACTTTGTATGAGTCTCTGTTTTCTAAGATACGACATCCAAATCGAATAAAATTTGGCGAACTAGGATTATGTTTGGACCAAAACACTATAACGTGAAAAATAAGAAAAAAAAAAAACTTTAAATGTTTATTTTCTTCTTTTCGTATGTATCATATCCTTAAAGGAGACCACACTTTATATAAGTCTAAGACAACTATATAATTAATATGCATTTAAATTGGAGTTAACAATGTAACACAAATGAATGTTCAATAAAAAATTAAACAATACTATACAAATACATGTTTTATTCGGATCCATACCAACATAAAAACCTAATAAAAAAAGAACTTAAATTTCCATACACTAATTGGAGTAGTGCTGGCGGTTTGCTTCGGGATGAGTTGGGTAGATGGGTCGCGGGCTTCATCATGAATGTTGGTTACACCACCATAACGGGAGCCGATCTTTGGGGGATTTTCCAAGGTCTACAATTGGCTAGGAGTTGGGTCTTCGCCAAATTCTCGCCGAGGTTGATAGCCAGTGAGTTGTGAGAATGGTGCATGGGCCCGGAGATAGTTTTGGCGCTAATGGTGCTTTGGTCAGGGCTATTCGCAGCTTGTTGCAAAACAATTGGCGAGTGAGAATTTAACATGTGCACATGGAAACTAACTATGTGACCGACTTTATGGCGAGCTTGGTGTTTTCCTCTACGTTGGGGCTGCAACGTATAACTTCTCCTCCCTCCGATTTGGGTGCATGGATTGCTCATAATCTCATCAGGGTGTCGCGTCCCCGACGAGTCCTAGATTCATCACTTTCCTAGGCATTGACCTCCTTATTTTGTACCCAAAATAACAATGTAACACTAAAACTAAGTTACAAGTTTAAATTACAATACACATTTTCAAATGTTATCTGCTACAAATTTCGTTCAAAAAAATTTCTAACAATTCTCCACATGAATGAAATTAATAAAAAATATGCCTTATGGTCCATTCGTTGAAACCTGCGTATTTATAATAAACCTTTCGAAAATTTTAATATGAAGTACATATGTAGAGTAAATGTTAAAAATTATATAATAGTACCAGTTTGTTTGAGGATGGACCCAAAATTCCAACTATTTTAATTAAAAAGATTAAACAACATATATTACGCACAAGTGCCTACGTATAATGACCAACTTGCAGGCATTATATCTTCCTCAAATAGCATTTAATTATATTAATTTGATGTCCAAAATAAATAAAGTCAGCAAGGTTTTAATAATTATGTTGAATAGGGCACTCAACCACCATCCTTTATCTCTTCAAAATATTAAATGTTATTATTATTTGTCAACCGTCCCAAACACGTCACGTTTTCATTAAACT